TGAAAAGAGACTTGCGTTCAGCCTACCTCACATTTGTTTTTTGCTGTTGATCCAAAAGAAGGCAAAAAAACCCAGTTTGAAGCACAATTTTGCAACAAGCTAGGAAAAAAATTCCTTCTTGACACCAGAATGGCAGTCAGATTTATCCTTGGATCAAGCAGTTATTACCCTACATTGAAAGATTATATCCTTGAATATTCTGTTTTTGCAAGTATGCATCTAGTAGCTGTTTGAACATCTGTATGGACTCTGATAAAACCACTTCTTCAGGCAGAGAATTCCACATCCTGATTGTTCTTACAGTAAAAAAAACCTTTCCTTTGCCTTAGACGAAATCTTCTTTCTTCCAGTCTAAACGCATGGCCTCGTGTCCTATGTAAAGTCCGGTTTGTGAATAGATTTCCAAGCAATGGTTTGTATTGGCCCCGAATATATTTGTATAATGTTATCATATCCCCTCTCAGGCGACGCTTTTCTAAACTAAATAGGTTTAAATTTGTTAACCTTTCTTCATAGCCGATATTTTCCAGTCCTTTTATTAATTTTGTAGCCCGCCTCTGCACTTTTTCTAGTGCCATAATATCCTTCTTTAGAACAGGTGCCCAAAATTGCACAGCGGGTGCATTGACCAGCCTTAACGTTCTTAGAACCGGTCTGTAGGTGATAACGTTAAAGCGAAACAAAAATAATGACCATCTAGCTTGTCTAGAAGACAGTTGTTTGGCATCCCTAATATATGCCAGGTTCTTGTGGTCCGTAATAATCAGAATGGGATCCTTGGAACCTTCTAAAAGTATGATGGCTAACAGTTCTCTATTACCAATGTCATAGTTATGCTCGGCAGGAGACAATCCATTACACCTAAAACCTGTCCCCTTAAGGTTCTTGGGTCTGGAAGTTTTCCGGACGTATAGGACAAGCATCTCTCATATGCCATATCTTGCCACAATATAAGCACAGACCCTCTCTTCTCCCATACTGTTTCTCTGCCTCAGACAGTCCTGTAACCCCTAACTGCATAAGTTCGAGTACAGACCGCGTCGAGAGGTCAGGGACAACAGGCTTGGAGAATCAAGGTGCTAGTGAAATAGTCAAATGTCTAGTTTGTTTCTAGTAATTTCCCTGGTCCTGAGTCTATTATCATGATTATCTGCATCACATAGTTAATGAAGTCATTTAACCCCTTAGGTAGGTCTTTGGCAGCAATTTCATCAAGTATAACTTCAGATAATCCTTTTTTAAAAGCAGCGATTAAACCGTTGTTAGTTCAGTCTACCTCAGATGCCAAGGTACGAAATTCTATGGCATAATCCGAGATCGGTTCCCTTGTTTGATATGCATTAGGGCAGTGGAGGCATCTTCCTCTCTGCCTAATGGTTCAAACATCAGTTTGAATTCCGCCAGGAATTCCTGGTAACAATGAGCGATACTCCTATTACTTTCCCACAATGGATTAGCCCAAGTTAAGGCCTTACCTTTAAGTTGGTTCATCAGATACCCAATCATAGCTCTATCTGAAGTTAATTAACCAGGTGAGGTCTCAAAGTGGTACTCAATCTGATTGAGAAATCCTCTACATTCCTGGATATTACCAGAAAAATGCGGGGGAGGAGATAAGGAGATCGTAGGTGCCTTATATACTATAGGTGGAGGTACATTAGGCAGTGGTGACATAATTGGAGAAGCCTCAGGTTGTAAATGAGCCATCCTAGTAAGGAGCGTGCTAAAAGCCTGAGCAAATTGATCCATACGGTGATCATTCTCCTCTAGCTTTTTCTCATAAGCTGCTATGTGCTGACACAATTCTGCAGGATCTATGGCCCTGTCGTAATGTCAGGATTACAAGTTGATCCAGCATGCAGTACTGTGTAACACCTAGGACTAAGGATAACGTATAACCGGAACTTAGAATGACCGGATTAACGTCTCCAAGAATAGTCAAAATACTAGCCAAGGTCAGGGACACAAAATCAGACACAAAGATGAGGGAAAGCCAAGAATACCAGATATCAGGGAAGTCAAAACAAAGCCAAAGTCAAATACCAGAAAATCAAGATCAGGAACGCACTCTCAGATAACCATAGACATGAAACCATGACAGGACAATGAGCAAGAGGAGAGCTGGGTTTAAATACCCCTCCTGTGGATCAGATTGGCTGTAACTGGCCTTTGCCCCCAAAGGCAATTACCAGGTTTACATGTACTTAATTGCTGCTCAGCACAAACCCTACTGTTGATTAGCCATGACTGGCCTTTGACCCCAATAGTAATTACCAGGTTTCCATGAGCATGATTGCTGCTCGGCACAACTTTTCCTGTCAGGACAGTAATGTTGCTCGGCACAACTTTTCCTGTCAGGACAGTAAATGCCACTAACCACATTTTTATGTGCGGATGAATACGTGACATCGAGGGACCTTAGCAAACACATCTATGTGTTTACCTCATTGAATAAAGCCAGTAATCCTTTTATAAGGTGTTCAGAACCTCATACAACTAAGGCTGTGTAACCAGGAGGGCTGTCTTCACAGCTGTAGGCACTGTCCCACTTATCCCTGGACCACAAGTACTACCATATATTATTACAGACAATTGTTCCAAAGAGGATCCATTCGGGGATGGGGATCTGTCTCACTATGTGGATGCATTATACAAATATATACAGAGCCAGTACAAGCCACTATGTGCTACCCTGTTCATTAGCAGTAATATACAACAGACAAGTGTTCACTTTGATAGAAAAAATGTTTTTGATAACAGAAGAGGAAAGGGTCCTTTAAACATTAATGAATGAGTAAAATAAACCCTACTACATAGAATAATGAAAAACAAAAAAGTATAATAAAATGTAAAACATTTATTAAAGAAGATAAATGTAGTTCAATAAAGTGCAATAAAATAATAAAAGATATAACGTATGTACACTACACTCAGGAAGATGCATTAAGAAAATAAGGAAGCATTCCTTGCTTTGCAAGTTTAATAGTAATAGTATTACTATTGCAAAGATATTTTAAGTCTTGGAAATGTTGTTATCTTTGCATTATACTCTGGTGGCTTTATCTTGTGTCTACACTATTCCTATTAAACTGGCACAGCAAGGGATGCTTCCTTTATTTCTTAATGCATCTACCTAAGTGCGGTGAATACTTCAAATATGCTATTAGATGGATTTCAGGAATCGAAACACTAGAACCATGGACTTGGCTATGCGTGAGAGTATTCAAAGTAGTGGATACTTAGGTATATAAATAATTTTACATTTTTCTGATACATTGTTAAAACTGATGCAGCGCCATAGAAAATTAGGGTCAGAGTATTTAAATGAAATTGCCACTGGTTGCTATGAGAAATCATGGGTTTGAATACATTTGTAAAGGAACACTATAGTGTCTCTGACACCCCTAAAAATTGCTTTGAATTATCACAAAATATGTTTTACCAGTTACATACACGTTTTTACCCTTTAAACAATACAAACTTTCGGGAACATGTTAGACATCTATATTGTAATTCAGCTATAATAACAATAAGGTTTCTTTCCATAGAGCGCTAACATGGCTAACTAAGAAAATATCTTTTCATAGAAATACAAAAATAAGGATTGTGTGCAAAATTAATTTGTTTATAGACAGCATCGTGTTAGGTATTGGCAAAGATTTTAGTATTTAAATTTATTTTGTCTACCACACCAGACTGACAAATTAGCAGATCTTCTGGCAGAATCACATGAGGCTGAGATTCTTAATTTAACCTTGCCTTTAGCAGTACACAACCAACTGGAGAATATTTATTTTATTTCCTGGCACAAAATTATATTACATAGTTGGACAACCTACACAATAATAATTACACCAACAAGTAATCACAGCAATTTGAAAAACTACCAAATTATCACTAAATGGAAAACACTGTCGAGTAATGAATGTGCTACATTGTCCACTTTTTTTTATATATGGTATTATTAAAACATTATATGCTATCCAGCAAGAAGACTTATTATTGTTGAAGTTAGATTGTACAAGGTACATTATATGACATGCTGAACTGTATTTTATATGATTTATTTGTAGCCGAGGAAGGGGCAAATTTGGTTTTCCTTGTATATTTATGTACTTTGTAAAAATGTTTAGAAAACATATACATTGTCCTTAATAGCAAACACATTTATCTGGATTTTCAGTAAACACTCTAGGTCTACAATGCTAGTCAACAGGGCACAGAGAACTTCCTTTACGGCATTGTTTTTTTCCTTAGGATGTTCTTATATAGTTTCCCCTACATATCATGGACCTGTGTCCACCTCATTAATATCTTCTGCTATTTCCTTTCTGTGCTCCTTTTTGTTGCCAGTCAGTGGTTTTCTGCTAATTGAATATATTGTTCTATTTGCAAAATGCTATGATCATATGCTCAATAAAGTTCAAGGGGCGTGACCAGAACCCGGAAGCAGGAAGCTATGGCAGCTTAGTGTGTGAGCGTGCAGACCCGGGCCATTTTGGAAGACGATAGAAATTGTGTTTTCACTTGAGCGGTTACTCATACTTACTATTATATACTACTCACACTACTCCTATTATACGAGCAGAGAAGAGACCTATAAACGGGCGAACGAGCATACAGGAGGATACAGGAGGAAGAAGAGCGGAGGTGAAGAGAGAGAAGTAGAAAGAGAAAGGAGGTGATTGGAGTGGAGGCTGATAGTGATAGCGAGGACTGGAGCAAGGAGGCAGAGGTGGTAACTGTAAAAAAAAAAAAAAAACGGGGAGAGAGGGAGACGGTGGAGACACGGTGGAAATAGAAGGCGAGGTGGAGGAGGACGCAAGGCGAGGGGCAAGAGCGCAAGATAAGGGCGCAAGACGGAAAAGTGGAAAAAAAGACGAAAAACGGAAAGCAAAAGTAAGAGCAAAGGGGCTAGAAGCACTTTAAGTGCACGGCTCTGTGAGAGGCATAACATTAAAGCCTTCCCCTCGACCCAGAGGGAACTAAGGAGACCTGTGATGTCTCCGAATCGCTCAAGAAAACCGACAGAAGTTAAGGAGGTGAAAGACAAGGGAGCCTTCTTCACAGCCCGGACAACACAAAGTAAGCTTACTGATACAGGAGTTCAAGATGGAGCAGACGCTGAGACAGAAGGTGATACAATCTCAGATACAGATATAGATCCTAAGCCTGCTCCTGCCCCTGCTCTTGCTCCTGCTAAAAATGTAGAGGCCCTCCTTACACCGAAGCTGTTACAGGAAATGTTGGATAAAGCAGTTATTCAAATGCAGACTGCAGTTGCAACTGCTATTGCAGATTTAAGAGAGGATCTGATTAAACTAGATACAAGGACTATACATTTAGAAACAAAGGTAGAGGTGGTCTCTGGAGCCTATGAAGGTTTAAAATCTCGTATAAATGTATTGGAAGATAAAATGTTACTGCAGGACTCCAAACTTATGGATTTTGAAGATAGATCTCGCAGAAATAATATTAAAGTGCGAGGAATCCCAGAAGAGGTGGGGTCGCAGGAGCTTGGGACTTTCATGTTAGAGCTATTCCAATCTGTGCTACCGGATTTCTCACAAGATATGTTTTTATTGGATCGTATACACAGATTAATTAGACCTCAATTCCTGCCGGCTTCTAGCCCAAGAGATGTACTCCTGAGAGTGCATTATTATCATGTGAAGGAACAAATAATGAGGGCTTATAGAGCAAAAGAAAATCGACCAGAGAAGTATAAAGAAGTCCTCTTATTCGCGGATTTGTCATCAGATACCTTAAGATTTAGAAGATCCTTTAAAGATATTATAGAGACACTCCGGGCTAACGATATCAGATATAAATGGGGGTACCCAGCAAAACTGTTTATTATCAGAGATGGAAAGTTTAATGCTGTGTCTTCCCCAACAGAAGGCTCCAGGCTCCTTCAAGAATGGGGTTTAATTCCAGACTCCCCATCTGAAGATCAGTTATTAAGTCATTAAGGATTACCGGCTAACACTTGGCTATCATATGGAAAATAGGAGGAAAACAGGATGAAAACACGAGGAACAGGAGGATGCAGAATACACCAATGGTTTTTATTTTTTTTTTTTCTCTTCTTCTCCTCCCTTTATATCATGATAGGAGACAGGAGAATGGCGATTCTGGTGACTTGGGAGACTTTGGTGACTCTGGTGACATAACAAGGGTTTGAGACTATTATCATTATTATTATTATTATTATTATTTTTTTTTTTTTCAAACTAAAGTGTATGTTTTGTAAATGAAGAAGAGAAAAAATGAGAAAGGAAAGATGAAAAGTATATAATGTATATAGCGTGTGTAAATAAGAGTAAAATAACGTGTTAAGAATAGGTGAGCGGAAGGGGAGGGGAGAGGAAGTGGAGGGGGAGGAAAGAAGGAGTAAGGAAGAGAGGAAGATCATGATATCAAACATAGGCTATATGTGATAAGTTATTAGATACATAAGTTTAGGAGTAAGTTGAATAAGTCGAAATTATGGGCTTGGAATATGTATTTTTAGATATTTTCCAAGGTATTTGAGTATATTTGGGTTATTCTATCTGGATTCTATGTTATCCTGCTTTATCTTAGGTATGAACAGAAACAGTAATCCTTTATAAACAATTATATATATGTATTTTTAAACAGCAATAAAGATAATAGAGATAAGATTAAAAATAATATTATTAGAGACTGGATATAGCCATACTTGGTCTTGATACGTTAACATATTGGGGAGGGATGTTCAGTAAAGTAACAATTAGGATGTTATTTAATTTAAATTAAAAGAATTTTAGTAAAATAAATATCTAGATAGACTGGATACATTATTAACATGATTATGATTATATATAAAGGGGCATATATGATAAAAAAAAAAAATCATAAGGTCAAAGGCAAAAGTAGGAGCTCAGTGGAAACTAATTGAATTACACTATTTCTGGAATAATGTTAGAATTCACTAGGTAAAGAAATATAACTACCATTAAACATTTAAGAACAAACCTCCTTTAAATTAATAGTCTTTTTAAAAGGCTTATAATCATTAAATAGGAAGTTTATGTATAAGTCCTGCCCACAATCCTTGGCTCCCCTTCCCCCCCCCCCTTTTTTTTTTCTCCTTCTTCTTTTAAAATTATAATACATAAGATATTTGGATGTTAAATTATAATTATGGATAAAAATACCTTACAAGTATTCAGAGGCAGTAAACAATAATATCATAATTAACTATTAAAGCTAATTACTTTAGTTAAAAGAAAAAACGGGGGAAGAAAAGGAAATTAAACAGGTATATCTTTATAATTCAAAATAGAATAACCTTTATTAAAGAATAAGAGCGCATTACAGCTTAGTGTTTTATAAGACCTCGATTATGGAACAAGATGCTTTAAGATATATTAACAAGGTATGCTACTGGATTGTAAAGTATTATAATGCATGTGATATACTAGCTTACCACATTGTCTTGGGGAAACTATAATTAGCATCAAAATAGGGGGTTGGGAAGACTGCTGTGGTATATTTTTGTTTTTCGGTTCTTCCCCCCTCACCCCCCCATTGCCTCCTTTTTTTTTTTTTTTTTCTCTATTGTGATAATTACAGTGAGAACTTAGTGAATTTATCTGGCCCGGGACTGCCTATTGCAAAGCCGGATCCGTTTATATTTTCCCCCAACGAAGAAGTGCCAATAATTGGGCACATATCAATATAGTTGACCAATTGGGTCTTTTTCTCCCCTTTTTATTTTGTGTTTTTTTTTTCTCGCATTGATATTTTGGCTAGCATTGTTAAACAAGTGAATATAAGCATAATGAAATTCTACACACACAATGTCAGAGGTTTAAATATACCTCATAAGCGATATGCCCTATTGAAAGAACTACGTAGCCTACAAGCAGACATAATCTGTCTTCAAGATACACATTTTAAACATAGTTCTAATCCTACAATAAATGCGAAAAATTTTCTGCATCAATACCACGCTACATCTCCAACTAAAAGCAAAGGAGTTTCGATATTGGTGAGTCAATCATTGGCTTTCGATCAAATATCTGTCCAATTAGACCCGCAAGGCAGATTTATTATTCTTATCTGTATATTAAATACTACTTATACAATAGTCAATTGTTACTTCCCAAACAAAAACCATGCAAGCTATATGTCAACCCTTTTAGAAAAAATTGAGAAAGTTCAAACAGGTATTCTAATAATATGTGGAGATTTTAACCATATAATGGACCCTAACGCAGACTCGACAGCTCTACATACACATAAAAGGGGAAAATTCCTGCAAAAGCAATGTACTTCTCTTAACAAAACATTAGCTTTGTACGGTCTATATGACATATGGAGAAGACCCATCCAGAAGACCGAGAATACACACATTACTCACAAGTGCATAATACCTATTCGCGTATAGATGGATATTTTATGCTTAGTACACATTTGGATAAGGTTAAGAGTTGTGTGATCGGTGTTACAACAGAGTCAGATCATAACCCAGTGATACTCACTCTCTCAGATTCATATCAATACAAAGATAAAAGCCCATGGAGATTAAATGAACAGTTGTTTAATGATTCCATATTTAAAGATAAATTACGCAATGAAATACAGCAATATTTTGAGTATAATGATAATGAAGATACAAACCCGATGGCTCTCTGGCTCGCACATAAGTCTGTAATTCGAGGTACATTATTGAGCAGAGCAACGTATATTAAGAAAACAAACCATAAAACACTAACTACTCTACTAAGGAAATTGCAAGATCTCCATAGAATCAATAAGTAAACTCCACTCAAGCCTTACAACAGCAAATAAAGTGTGTCCAACAAGACATCAAATTAATTCAATTTAAAAAAGCTAGTATAGCATTGAAAAAAACTGAGAGCGACATCCTATTCACTAGGAAATAAGGCTACAAAAGTATTATCGCAAAGAATACGAAATAAACAAGCCCAGACAAGAATCTCTTTTATCAATACACATTTGGGTCATAAAGTCATGCAACCTGTACAAATATGCAATGCTTTTGCACATTATTATAATACTCTGTATAATTTAAAAAATCAGAATTCTCAGTTAACAGCCACGCCAATATCTATCCGTTCATATCTGTCTAAGATTGCTTTCCCAAAAATAGCTGTAAAGCAGTCAGAGAAGCTTTGTTTACCTATTACCATAGAAGAAGTCCTCCAACAAATAGACAAGATGCCGAAAGAAAAAGCTCCAGGTCCTGATGGCTTCACCAATGTATATTATAATTTATTTAAGAAAGAATTAGCTCCAGCTCTTACCAGCTTTTATAATTGCTCTCATAAGATAGGTACCTTCCCACCTGAGTTCCTGGCTGGCCATGTTATCACTATCCCCAAACCGGGAAAGTCTCCAACGAGTTGTCAAAATTTTAGACCTATATCCTTATTAAATACAGATACAAAACTTTTTGCTAAGATCTGGGCAGAACAACTCAAGGATATAATACCAACATTAATACATTCGGATCAGGTAGGATTTGTGACCGGTAGACAAGGACAAGATAACACTAGGAAGGTGTTAAATCTATATAAAATATTACAGATCACCAAGCAGGAAAGCATTATGTTATCTCTAGATGCCGAAAAGGCATTTGATAGGCTAAACTGGGATTTCTTGCATGAAACATTACTGGCCTATGGATTTCCATCCAGATTCATTTCAGCAGTTGAAGCATTGTATAGTACACCTTCAGCAGCAGTTCTCTATTCAGGATTTAAGTCAGAGACTTTTAGCATCACTAACTGGACACGACAGGGATGCCCTCTATCACCCCTTCTTTATGTGTTGGCTCTAGAACCCTTTGCTATATCTATAAGGAACAATGAGAACATACATGGTGTACAAGTTGGTCATAATGAGTATAAACTCAGCTTATTTGCTGATGATATTCTTATAACAATTACTCAACCATTTATAACGCTTCCTTCATTACATAAAGAGCTACAGCTTTACAGTCAACAGTCATATTACAAACTAAACATGACAAAAACACAAGCAATGGGCTTCAATACAACTAAATCTACAGATGAAAGATTGAAAGAAAGTTTTTCCTATGACTGGAGAGAAGACCATTTAATATTCCTAGGTATTAGAATTACTAGAAAAGAAAAAGATCTTCTATTAGTCAATTATACGAAACTACTGAAGGAAATCAATATTCAATTAAAATCATGGAAGAATCTGTTTTTATCTTGGGTAGGAAAAATAGCCGCACTTAAAATGTCAATACTACCTAAGATATTATATCTCTTTAGATCTATGCATATGTTACTTCCACAAAAATATATAATAGCTATGCAAGCCGCTATGGTCCGTTTTAGCTGGGGCAACAAACACCCGCGAATGCCTAAAACATTACTGATGAGAAACCTGGAAAAGGGAGGAATGGGCATACCAAACATAAAGGCATATTATCATTCTTCTATACTTATGAATGTTATCAACGCTCACTCAACTGGATATATTCCTCAGTGGGTGGCAATAGAAAATAAATATTGTCGATCACAAGATCTATCAACATTATTATGGAAGTCTCAACAACTACGACAATTAAGCCCAAATATGCTGCCTTCTACTAAACATCTAGTGAAAATTTGGGATATGTATAGAGATAAACTATGCACAGCTTATCCTTGGGCCTTAGCGACTCCAATCAAAGTTCTATATCCCTGCAATGGAACATTCCCATATCAGAAATGGGAAAAAGCAGGAATTACACATCTTTTCCACTTATGCACCATAGAAGGCTTAAAACCATTTTCGTCTCTACAAAAGGAGTTTTCATTACCACCAAGCTACACATTTGCATATTTTCAAATCAAAGCAATCTTAGACATCGAAAAGGTCCGGGTGAGAACAGATATAATGCAATCTTCTATATCGAAGTTTGAAGAGAAATGCTTATCATTAAGTCCTCCGAAAAGAACATTGTCTT